GTTGGGTCGACTACCTCCTCTAACTAAGTAGACTAGGGATCACGACAGCCCAGAACGATTGAACCATAGAATCTCGATCGGACACCTCATCATTCCCCCATCACTTGCTTTAAGGATGGTGATAATTCTCAAATCTTGAAAAACTCTAAAATCTAATTTCCAAACCCTAAAAGCAGTTGTTACTATACAATGGGTATTCAGTGTCTATCCAAAGATTAACCTTAATCAAAAGTACTCTCTCGCTATTGAGAGGGGTAATTAACCATAGTGGCTTACACCTATAAAAAAGCAAACCTCGTGTCATAAAGTCCTCACAAAAAGATGGTGAAATCTATTGGTAGTGTCTTATAAATTTGAAACATGAAAAATTTTAACTAGAAGTGTATATATGTTGCACCTATGCCGGGGGTCCAAGGGGGCGCTGCCCCTGGCGGGGTTCGACCTAGTCGCGGGGTCAAGGGGCAGCGCCCCTGTGGGGGTTTCTGGGGGCAGTGCCCCCAGAATAAAAAAATTATTATAAGAATTGCTTTAAAGTTTTCTCTACCTAACCCGTACTAAGCAATACCGAGCAGTACTGAGTACCGAGTACCGAGCGGTACTTGACTTCTAGTATCGAGTACCGAGTCAAAAATTCATGGATGTATTCAAAAAGTTGCACATCAACATCTCCTATGTTGATGCTTTGAAGCAGATGCTCAGATAAATGAAGCTTGTGAAGGAGATCTTCTCCAATAAGAGGAAGTTCAAAAAAAAATACAAGACACTTGCACTTACTGAGTTTAGTGTGACTGAGTTTAGTGTCCTTCTACGGAGGAAGCCACAAACGAAGTTGAAGGATCCGGACAGCTTCACAAACCTGCAATATGCTTGAAGATTGATAGAGAATTCTTTTGTTGATTGTTGAAGACAATTGTTTCTCCCTATGGGCACCTTAACTATATAAAATTAGTGTTGTTTGCCCTGAAAGAATAGGATTATAGATAACATACCATCAACAGGATTTTATAAAGGACTTTCAAGCACCAATCATATGTCATGATTGCATTGTAAGTTTTAAGTTTTGCATTCATAGTTATCTTTTATAAAATTTGTTATTGGTCACCATATCATTCTAAAATTACATGCATTGGGATATTTCAATATAAGTCCTTTTCCTCTACAAAGAATATAAAAAGCTATTTAATGCATGCTTGAATATAAAAATAATGGATGAGTTTCAAAAGTCAATGGTCAGCCGTATGCAACTTCCAAATTGTCAGTATTCTTCAAATCCAAACTGGATACATAGATTGCCTCAAAGCTGGAAGTGTAATGATCCTCTCACATGTGCAATTATGCACATCCTCCAAATTATATTATCAGAGCTTCAATAGGTAAAATTTATTCTTCCCACTACAATCATATGTCTAGCTTCTTCTCCTCTTCAACAAAAGTTCTTCTTATTTAGTCCACAACAAGATTTATTCAAAAATTATTGAGCATCTCATTCAATATGTTTGCTAGATTTTAAGCAAGCTCAACGAGAACTAGCTCGAATGTATTATCAATTCTAGTGGCTTAAATCAAGCATGTGTTATCCAAGGCTTCATTTGAGGGAAGAGATTATGGATTAATCAAAATTTCTAAGCTAGAATTGGATCTTCTTGATTTCAAATCATCATCCCTACAATGTTTGTGTTTAAAATGTGTCCAAGCAATGTTCAAGGAGTGTCAAAGAAGTATTGGAGATATTCTTAAACAAAGGCCAAACACTATCCAATGAATATGTTGAAATCAACGACAAGCAACAAATTGAGATAACCATAAAAAAAAATTTACTTAGGTATCTAACAAAAATTTAAAAAAGGAAAAAATCCATAAAATTACATTTACTAGATTGAATATAATAAATGAATAAATTAAACATAGTATAAGCCAATTAACAAAGACTTGCAAGTCATAGACATGTATGATGAAAGAAATCTAAAATAAATCAAATTTTAGCTGACTAAATGTCAAAAAACAAAAACATTTTTTGAATGTTTATGCTTGCAACATAAATATGATGTAAATATAAAAGGAACCATAGAAGTTAGACAAGCTATATATTGAATAGACAATGTAACTATTGCATACACCAAAAATTATGTTTATATCAGGAATAGACAACCTGCCTATTGATCAAAGACCATAAAAAAGTTTAGTGTTTTTCATCATCATCATTAGCCTTTTCACAACTACTTGTAATCAATTTTTGTGAATCATCATTCCCCACTCATTGTGCCACTTGAAGAGTTAAATATATTCTGGGTAAATCTATTTTGAATAAATTCTTTTGAACAATCTCTATCCATGTTATCATTAATTTATCCCTTCTCCTTCCTCAAACGTCCACTTATTTTATTTGTGCATCTTCTATACTATGTTGCATATGCCTAAACCAATTAAGTACATTTTCAAGTACTTTATCCTTATAGAATCTACTCTCATATCATCATTTCCAATTTATTCTTCCTAGTCTCACCACAAATTTACAATGGCATTATCACGTTTTTGCGCACTAATTGACTATCAATAACTTCTCTATAGTCAAATACTTGAATCTATATAATATATTCGATCTAATTGTAACTTTATAAAAATTATCTTTAAGTCTCCATGATACTCCTATAACATTATACTCGCAACTTTTTCCATGTAACAACTCACACTTAATTTTAGAAGTTATATTCATCTACATCTCCAATAATAAATAAAAAATATTTTACCATATACACGTAGATAGTTTGTGATCTTTTAGCAATATTGACTCATACATTCACACCCACTAAAGTGCATATCATAATACTCTTTTTTTTTTTGTAGTAATCATGAGCCTCTCATCTTTTAAAGCATTTCCCCCACTTTTATGAAATTTCAATTTCAATTTCAATAGAAAGCTCATCTATTAGGATTATGTCATATGCAATTAGCCTATGCCAAGCTATCTCATTTTGAAAATATCTTGAAATTCTATATTTAATCTCAAGAGATACAAACTTAATGTCTTGCATGATGAAACCCTTCGATGATTGGAAACTCTTTGATCTATCTTCAAATACTCCTAATGCTAGAAAATGCTTCTTCATACGACTAATTTAATTATAAGCAAAGTAAGTACATTACTACAACATGATGTGCTGAATAAGTATAATTCACAAATGAAGTGTGACTTTGAAGAAAGCAAATCTAACAAGAATAATAACTATAAAATGCTTATTATAAATAAAAAATACTAAACTATATGTACCTAATTTGTAGGTGATCTTTTAGCAACATTGACTCATACATTCACATCCACTAATGTGGGGATTATGTACTCTTTTTTCTGTCAATCATAACCTTATCTTTTACAGCATTTCCCTTGAATAATAAAATTAGGTATTGCAAATCGCCATCGTGTGAGAAACACTTTGATCTATCCTCAAATACTTCTAATTCTAATAAATCATTTGATATGATAAAATTAGGTACGTAAATCATACGACATCATTCCTCTTATATGCCAAAACAAGTTCGTATCATTAGAAGTATTTTTGCGTTTTAATTATCTTTTAAAGAAGCTACATTTTTCATCCACTCATCCTTACTGAATAACCACTCTGATAAGATTGCAAACACTTGTAATAGTTATTACTCTTGCTATATTTGCTTTCTTCAAAGTCACATTATTTTTTGAAGGGTGAGAAACACTTTGATCACCATGGACATGCTTTTACACTTTATGAATTATTAATATGAAATAAACAATTTCTGCTACTCTCTACTAAAGACATCACAAGATAAGGTACAATTTCATAAATGAAACATTATACTAATAAAAAAACAAGCAAGATTAATGATAAAAGAAAAGAAACTTTTTTAGTAACAAGAAATTAATAATCATTTTTAGTTGTCACATGCTTTTACAATATTAGTATTACTTTCAAAATGTCAAAATAATCTCAAAAAAATAAATACCAATGTAATCTTCAAAATAATCAAACAAAACATGGCTACATGAGAGACACTAATTGGACTTAACAAACAATCATGTGTCCCACTGACATAGTACACACAACGCTCCTCACCCTTAGCTTTTAAGGTAGCGAGTAAATGATGATACAGCATCAGCTTCAACACAAGACACAAGATTGTATGAGTCTTTGGCTTTCATTGCAAGGCGTGGTTACAAGATTGATTACAATTAAAGTACTAATGCAAGATATGAAGAGTGGGGGAAGATACATAACTATGGCAACTCCAATAAGAATACAAGTCAAGATTTTGAGTGCCAAAACACTCACGTGTTCCTCTATGTCCAACAAGTTTTCAAGTTCACTTTCATAATAAAAGAACTCCGACACAATTTCTTGCATGTTAGACACACGCTACGACATGTGGGAACTATGTTCCGGTCCGACACGGACATAGGAACCATTTGGAAGTGTTTGTACTTCATAGATGGAAAATAATATAAAATGCTATGGGACTACTATATGTGTCTTAAAATTTTGTGCTTCTACAAATATAACTGAAAATTAATAAATAATGCGCTAACATCCAACAAACACCACACACGCTCCTGTGCAAAGTCCCTAAATCTTACCAATTAGAATACAAAATCTTTCAACAAATTTTAACAATGAACTTCAATTAAGGTGCAATTTAGGGCATGGGAATGCCTCAAACCAAACTGCCAAAGCTTGCATATTAAAGAACATACCTTCCCCTGTACTACATCCGCATTTGATGGTTTAAAGTGGCAACAACAAATTTTTCCAATATGATTTAAGGGCTTAACTCAAGAAGAAAATAAGCTAAAAAAATGAGACTGCACAATATGATTTGACAGTGCTAATCATAATTGCTAATGACATTATTCTCACAATTGTAATAGAATGAAGATATAAGTAACTGAAGATAATTGAATAAGCACACAAAAACAAGAAATACTAAATTAATTAAAACAATTAATGAAAAATCCAAAAATTGCCTAAGAATGAAAGAAAGCAATTAAATTTGACATCAATAATTGTTCACTTCCTTATCAATGTAAAAGCATGATCAAGAAGTAGCAGAACTCAAAGATGGCCTGATTTTAATCTCAATTCTTATACCTATCAAAAATCCAGTTCCCAATTCAATGGAAACAAAACAGGCATAACAAACATTCATAATAGACAAAACATCAATCTCATGATTCCAAAACTAGCATATTAATTTGGTTGTCTAATTAAGTAAAAAATGGCCGGCATACTTGTGCTGCTCCCAGGCCTCTCTCTCCTAGGATTGCTATTTCTTATTGCTGAGTAGATCATCTGGGACGACCTTTAGAAGCTTTCTCTGTTTAGACTTAGCGATCTTCTTGAGAGTCTTCGGGTTGGTAATCTTCTGGAGCTTGGTTCCTGATCTCAATACATTCTCCTTCTTCTTTTTCTCCCGCTCTTCCCTTCTCTTACGTTTCTCCTCTTTATTCTTCCGAATCTCCTCCTTAAGCTCCTCTTTCCTCTCCTTGAATGCTCGCTTCAACTCTTTCTCCCTGACGCGGACCTCAAGGGAGGTCCCGCGGCGAGAGATACGGCACGCGGAGGAGCGCTGCGTCCGCGGTTGCTTCCACTTCCGGCCAGAAACCTTTCCGGCTATGACTCCATCGTAGGTAGGGCGCCCGATGGAAGCAGGTTTCTCTGGATTCTCGAGTGACGGGAGGGCAGGTCGCTTTGCCGGTGGCGCGAGATCGCCTGAGCCGTCAACGAAAACTTCAGTTGAGACTTCAACTTCCATGGAGTCCGATCCATCCGTATGCGAGCGCTTCCGCTTGCTCTTCTGGCCGCCGAGTCCCTCGTCAAGGCATCGGAAGTCCAGAGTGCACGCCATAGTTAGGGCTTCGTGAGTCGTGAGACAAACGTCCGCTGGCTCTCATTAGTGTATTTATTGTTGCGCATAAATTATGTCCGGTGCATCAACACCAACCCTACTGGTCGAGCACGGCTCGTTGGATGGATTGGACAAATTTTAAATATATTTAAGGTTATAAATAAAATTAAGAAAATAATATTTTTAAAAATAAAATTTTAAAGTGGGAGAGAGAGATTCCGAATAAATAAATATAGGAGAGAGAAAATAAATTGCTGCTTTTTTGCCGTTTTCGATTGGAGGGTGTCCTCTTCAAATTATTGAGTCTAAGGATTATTTTAGCATGTTCACCTTTGATAACTCCATTTGGGCTAGCTCTAACTCTTCGTTTGATTATTTTAGTGAGTTTTTCCTCAATTTCCATCAAATTATGGTGAGTTGCAAAGTTATTGTTTTCCATATTCATAAACCTCTTCTGATTTGGTTTTCCTACTTCATATAGTGATTGATTTCAAGTTGCTAGTATTAATTCACGCTCACCACACCTAAGATGATGTTGGATCCACTTACTCATAGGGAAACACCTTAAATTTATTGGCGAGTTTAACTAAACAGGCATGTCAAAGTGAGAGGAGAGAATATAGAGAGTGGGTGAATAAGAAGAAGAACTTTGGAACTCATCCCCTTATTTTTAAGTTAGATAGACAGACTACATGATAGGCAACACTTAATAAATAATAATTAATGCATGACTTGACTATTTAGGCATGTGCATGTCGGAGACCACCTCAAGAGTAGCTCTGATTGCCTTGACAAGTACTTGTGACCGGTGCTCTCAACGAGTTCATCTCATTGGTCTCTTCGACGCTCTCTATAGAAATATCACATGACTTATTCTTTTCAAATTGATGGTTGCATCAATCCTTATCTAGCAAGCTCCTACCATGACTTCCTCTCTAATCAAGCTCAAGCTCGAGAATAAATAGAAGAGCTAAGTTTTTGCCAGTTGAGCTAAGATCGTGTTTGTTGTGACTTAAACTCGACTCAACTTATTTGCACTCTTAGTCTCAATGTTAAAAAAAAAAAATTGAACTAAATTTTAAATTGATTAAAATCAAAATAACACATTTTATTTTAGAAAATGATGATTTTATTTGAATTTTACTAACACCAGCTTTGATAATATGACTCTGAAATTTGACAAATTCGAATCGAATTAAATCATGCTGACTACAGTGACATTTTTTTTTTTGGGAAAATTTGGGCTTTAAAGAAACAGCATAATTACAAAGTGTAAAAGGAAACTATAGCTCCAGAAAAAGAGGAGCAAGCTCGAATGAGCCAAAAATCAAAGAAAAAGCAACGACAATTGAACTTGAACAACAAAAAAACCCAAGGGGAAGATCCTCGCAACAGCAAAACAATGTTAAAGTTGACAGCAAGAGAGGGAGACTACAAAGGGCAAAACCTTGAAAGCCAAGACTCAGTCAGATTTAATCATTAGAATCACAAATAAGCATCCAACAACCCCTGGTTGCCAAGAGACCGTCTAAGGGGTAGCATGGTATAAGGGGCACATCATTGTCCTTGGCAAGAAAGTCCCAACAGGAAAATTGAAGAGCATAATCAAATAGCACCAAAAATAGCCACCAGTAAGCACGATAGGTAACAACATATTGCCAATATGAGTCCAGGAAGCATACAAAAGGGCTATAAAATACTCAGAATTTTTTCACTTGCTAATCTTAGAAAATATAGCTTTTTTTTATTCTGATAGATGTAGTCAATATGCTATGCATGGAATTCTCATATCTCCTCTCATTTTTTTCTTTCCAAATATAATAAATGGTGTAGCAGACAATAAGGTAGTAAATTTTTGGGAAATTTACATACATACCACTATATTTATAACCATTTACATATCTAACACCTCAAAGTTTAATATTACTCTTATACCACCTAAAACTCATTTTATACATCACTTCTACCACTCCATTAGGCCAGCCCTCACGTTGTACATATTTCTTCCCGCCGAATTTTCTCATTCACGAATGCCTCTGCTCGCGAACACACTTGATCGGGATTACCTCTGCCTCACGTTGTACATCACTTCTACCACTCCATTAGGCCAGCCCTCACATTGTACATATTTCTTCCCGCCGAATTTTCTCATTCACGAATACCTCTGCTCGTGAACACACTTGATCGGGATTACCTCTGCTCACGAAAACCTCTGCTTGCTGCTTGCGATCTGGAATACCTTCCTTCTGCTCACTGCTCGTGATCGACTTCTCGCGATCGGGAATACATCTGCTTAGCTGCTCGCATTCGGGAATACAACCCTCTGCTCACGATCGGGAACACCACTGCTCGCTGCTCGCAATCGCTGGTTTAGCTTGCAAACTCCGGCCTAGGCAGCAGGTAATATACTAAGTTTATTTTCTTACACTTAATGCATAGGTAGTAACCATTGATGTTATGTTAAATTCGGAGCAGTGAAGATGTGTTCCAAGCAGATATAGTATATTCATGTTGTTTTTAAATATGGAGAGAAATGGGTTCAAAGTAGTGAGCAACATAGAAATATGTATGATGGTGGCAAACAAAGGAGTGTTAAATTTGAGAAATGTCAACTTACTATTTATGCGCTCAGAAGCGAGGCTGTTCGAATATGTCCATGGCTTAAGGGGCATCTATATAATATGTATTATTATATGTATGGTACATCACCAAAGGAATATAAAGACATAATTTGTGACGTTCAGGTGGCTGAGTTCATAGAAGCATCCAACGATAATTTGCATGCTGAGATAGTAATTTCAGTACATGAAGTCAAAGGATAAGAATCAATTTTGATCTTAGGGAAATTGTGACTTCCGAGCAGATTGTTGAATGTTCTTTTAACCATAACGAGGGTATTTCAATTGCTCCAAGTTTATCTTATAAAGATATAGCTATTGGCACCTTCTTTCCTAACGCCAAACATTTCAAGCATGCTCTACGATCGGTAGCCATCAGGGAGAATTTTGGAATCATGATAAAGGCAAGTGACAAAATATGTGTGATTGTAACATGTTCTTATGAAGGTTGCGAATGGAGAGTTCGAGCTTCTCTATGTGAAGACCCTCAAACTTTTGAAATTAGGAATTTATGGTATTCACACGTATCCTGGGATCAATCGTGCTGGTAATAAATTAGCCACAACTGCATGGGTTGCCAACGAAATTGAAGAAATAGTAAAGAGAAATTCTGACATTCCTCCAAAAGACATCAACAACAATTTAGAGAAAGATTACGGTCTTTCATTACCTTACATGAAGTTGTGGAGGTCTAGGGAGCATGCTCGTGACAATATATTTGGCTCTATATATGAAAATTACAAATGGGTTCCAACATTACATGCATAATTGCTTAATAGAAATCTAGGTTCGCATATCACATACACTTATGACAGCCTTGACCATTCATTTAAAAGATTTTATGTTTGCTTTAAGGTTTGTGAAGATGGATTCTTATATGGTTGTAAACCGCTAATTAGTTTGGATGCATGTCACTTGAAATCAAAGCACTTGGGTATGCTTTTATCAGCTACCTCACTTGATGGTAATAACGGTTTATTCTCATTAGCATTTACCGTCGTTGAGACTGAATCTAAACAGACATGGTTATGGTTCCTTCATAACTTAGCAGAGAGTGTTGGCCCACACATAGAGCCTCTTTCGTTTATCTCATATATGGAGAAGGGTTTGGGTGATGTTATTAGAGAATTTTACCCTATTGCTGAGCATAGAATATGTACTCGTCATTTGTGGAAGAATTTGAAAAAAAAAAAAATTCATTGCAAATACGGTCATAAACTTCAAGGTTTGGTTTGGGCAGCTGCAGGAGCATATACTAGCACTGAGTACAATGACAAGCTTGTAGAGCTTAGTATTTTGAGCCCAACTATCTATGTATATCTTACAAACTTTCCTTATAAGTGGTCACGAAGCCAGTTCATTTTAGGGATATACCATGCTACTAATATAAGTAACTTTGCCGAATCATTCAACGCATGGATTATAGATGCTCAAAATAAACCAGTTGTTGACTTAATTGACATAATTCATGGTGAACTTATGGAGCATAGGTCGGCGCGTAAGATGATGAGCATAACATGGCAACGTGAATTAGTTCCTCCAGCGGAAGATTACATAAGAGAAATAACTACAAGAGAAGAACATGTGTTAATTTGCCAATCAACTATTTCGAAGGCTAAGGTAGAATCTATGCATTCAAGACATATTGTTGATGTTGAATCTAAAGAATGTACATGTTGAATTTGACAGTTAACAGGACTTCCATGCATTCACGCTATAGCCTTCATTGGGATGAAGGAGCATCCACTATGGCATACATATGTTCATGATTGGTATTTCGTTTATAGGTAAGTTGCCTTTATCCTGCTATTCAAAGTTATATTGAATTCCTTACATTTCCATGGCATGATAAACACTTCGTATGTGTTTTAGGTACAGGATGGCATACGAGGGAGCTATAGGTACATTACCTGATAAAGATCAGTGGCAAGTAGTTGAAGATGTGGTGGATATTGGAGTGCCTAACACTTCAAGACCTAGAGGAAGACCCAAAAAAAGAAGATTACCAAATTTCCTAGAAAAAGATAAGAAAGTGCATAAATGTAGCAGGTGTTCACTTTGGGGACATCATCGGAGCACATGCAACCCATTACACAAAATCAACGATGACACAATGACACAACGCAAAAACCCATTAACGATGGAGACGACTGCTGAGGATTTCAACGATGGAGTGGAGTATGAGTATCTACATGTTGATGGGTTTTGAGAAAAGTATGAGTATCTACATGTTGATGGGCTTTGAGAAAAAATTATTTCTGGATATGTTTTTTGTTTTTTTTTTGCAGTGCTAAATCCTAAACTCAAATGTAATTTTGGCTATTTTAAGTGGAATCGTTGTAAACGGACCTATAAAATTGTCTTCCACTGTTAGGTCCTCGGTGGCAGGTAAACATAGGTGACAATTGCAGTGAACCTTCGACTGCTGCATCCGGTTTTTCACAACCGATGAATTCGACGAACTCATTAAAACCTTTATAAAACTTGAATAATTGATGAGAACTATACATTAGATTTATATAGCAGCATTCAAATCAAACATGTCTAGCATAACCTGAATCAGAGCAGGTTTTAACCGATTAGTACTATAAGAATAACCACGTTTAAAGGATGCTCTTGTATACATTGTTTCAGGTTTTAAACTATAAGGGAAATTTACTATACATTGCTTGCTATTGTATAAATTTGATTCACAGCCGATGAGAACTGAGTAGGTTTTAACCTTTACAAAACTTGATTAAGATTTATACATTGAAACCTTTACACAACCTGAAACAAACATGTCCGACAGGTTTAAAGGATCAGTCTCCCGATCTCAAAAGCAAAAAAAAAAAACCAAAGCAAGCTCCTGATCTAAAATTGCCTTTATCTGCAAGGTTACAAAACCTGATCATACCTTCTCCCGATCTCAGGGAAACATCTCTCGAACGCAGGGAAGAAAAAAAAAAAAAAAAAAAAAAAACTGCTTCCCTGCTTTGAAAAAAAAAAATCTAAGGACACGGATCATACCTTCTCCCGATCTCAAAAGCAACCTACAGACTTCACCTTCCTCCCCTCTCGCAATCTCCGAAATTCTCAACCACTTGCACCGCGCCCTAACTTTCTCTTACATTTGCTCGCACATTCGCGACAAAAAGATGGGAGAAATACGGCATGAGGTTCGACCTAAACGGAGTGGTAGAAGTGACGTAAAAAATGAGTTCTAGGTGGTATAAGAGTAATATTAAACTTTGAGGTGTTAGATATGTAAATGGTTATAAATATAGTGGTATGTATGCAAATTTCCCTAAATTTTTTTAGTGCCAACCCCAAAGTGGCCTTTCTCATTAGTCCAAACCAGTAATTATAAAATTGAGGGTCTAAGAAGCAAGGTAGAGGTACTCGAAATGAGACTCATCAAGACAAAGTAAGAATAATTGCATTTGAAAAAAAATATGTGAATTGCATTTGCTAGCATAGTGGCATAAAGATCAGCTAGGGTCAACCTGAATATTCCTTTGAAACAAAACATCAGCCGTTTTAAGGCCACCAACAAGAGATGGCCAAGCAAAGGAAGAGTACCTCAACACATATTTTTTATGCCAAATCATGTAGTGCCAAGAGCTAATAGGTAAATCATTATAGTACTTCATAAGAAATTGACCAAAGACCCTCTCAGAAGCATTATCCCAAAATAAGGAGATAGACGAGGGTTCGTGTATAGGGGTGGCTTTAATAGCATTTGCAACAGAAAGAGGAGCATTAACTGGTAAGTTCCATTGGCTACCCGTAATAAAGTCTTTAACCAAGGCAAAATACATCATTACTTCCAAGGATAGGAGTAAGAGAGGTGTCATCACACTAGTGATCCCAATGAAATGATTTGAGGTTGGGTTGACCTTGAACTTGAAGGAATTCCTAGCCATGTTAGCAGTTGAGCAAATAGATTTCCAAATGTTAGAAGCAAATAGAGGGATAGGGTGCCAAGGAGAAGACTATCTCATGATGAGATTAAGAAGATAAAGGAGATTTACTGTTATACATTCTGCATATGATCGAATAATTGAAGGCAAATTACAGTGCAGAAAAAGAAGGTAGTCTCAAACCGCCATGCTTTTTAGTCTAACAAACTTTCTCCCATGACACCAATCTCATTTTCTTAACAACCAAATTGTCCCAAAAAAATAGAAATATGGAGGAGTGCTTCCTAATGAATTTGATGACTGTTTTGGGAAGAATGGAACCCTGTATCCAATAGGCAATAGTATTTTGAATAGTAAATTTCAGATATTATAGTCTCCCAGAAAAGGAGAGAAGATTGGCTTTCCAGCCATTTAGTTTCTTAGAATGCTATCCATCAGAGGCATAAAATCAGCCACTACTTATCTTTTGATAGATAGAGTAATATCCATGTAAATAAAATGAGTGTTGACTTTTGGGATAAAAAGTGCATGATAGATAGCCTGATGATTGGTGATACTCTTTGGGATCATAACATAACTTTTCTCAAAGTTGACATAGAGGTTAGAAGCATTAGCAAAGGTGTTAAGGGTAGTAGTGAGTTTACTACAATTGCTCATATCAAGTTTTCCAAAGACCAAAATATCATCTATATATAAGAGATGCAACAATTTAAAGCCCTCAAAGTTTACACCCTCAAAATCCCCTCCATCAAGGAGGGCAGAGAGAGCATCCATGACAATACGAAAATGGTAGGGACTTAGCAGGCAGCCTTGCCTCAGCCCAGCCGAGGATGAAAAATACCCTTTTAAAGCTCCATTAATGAGAACAAAAAAATTGACATAAAAAATGCAAGCTTTTATACTTTTAATAAAGGTGCTAGGGAAGCCTTTTTGTTCAAGCATGACAAGAAGAAATTCCCTATAAACTGTGTAAAAAGCTTTTCGGATATCCAGCTTGGCACAAAAGTGTTGGCCTCCCTTGTGTCTATGAAGAGAAAGAATCTCTTTGATAAGAATAATATTATCCGTAATAACTCTTGATTTTATAAAATCGACTTGACTGTCTTTAACAATCAAGGCATAATTATTTTCATCATGTTAGTTAAGATTTTAGCTATGATCTTATATAAAACATTGCAAAGTGTAATTAGCCAAAAGTCAGAAAAAGAATTGGCATGCTAGTTTTAGGAATGAGAGCTAGGGCTATAGCTTTTACCCCACTTGGAAGATGACCACTTGAGAAAAATGATCTAACAAGCTTGCACGCTAAAGGTCCAACAATGTGCCACTCTGATTTATAAAAATGGAAATTGAATCCACCCAGACCTTTAGCACAAGAAGAAGCCCCAGAAAATACTGCAGATTTAATCTATGCATCAGTGACGTACTGAATAAGGGATTAAGACATTGAAGGGGGATACAATTTCCAATAGAGAAAATAGCCATATAATTGAGGGTAGGTTGGGCTGGGTTATATAAAGATTTAAAATGATCAATAATAGAAGAGATAGCCTCAGATCTAGAGGAATGTTGAATGATGGATCCCAAGTTTAGAACAACTTTGTTATTACATTGCCTTGAGCGAATTTTGGCATATAGGCATTTCAAATCATCTTCACCTTGACAGAGCCACTTAGCTTTTGCACTTTGGATGACCCAAGAGGCTAATATATTGGTAAACTCTACAATTTTAGAATTGATAACCTTGAGATTAACATTGAGCAAGGCATTAAGAGGATCTATGTTAAGACAATCAAGCCATTCAGATTGCTATGTATGTAACCCAGCAAGGTGAGGGTGAATGATAGAAGAATTGGCCCATTCCTTGCTCTTGATATCTCATTTAAAAAAACTTAAGTTTACTGCTCAGGTCATGGGTAGGATTTCCCGAAGTGGGAGCCGAAAAAGTCTTAAGTAGAGAGTCCCAGCACCTATCCAACATGGTCCAAAATTTTTTAAATAAAAATGTGTTTTGAGGAGTTGGGAGTACCTGAATGAAGGATTATAGGGCATTGGTCAGAGCATGATGGTCTTTGAAAAGAGCAGAAAGAGCTAGGGAAAGCAGTCCTCCATTCCTCATTTACAAGAGCTCTATCCAATTTAATATGGATAGGATTATCCAAGCGTTGATTAAACCAAGTGTAGCGACTTCCAACCAAAAGAAGATCAATCAGCTTAACATCAAATATCAAGTGATTTAACTTCCAAAGATTGTTTTGCGTTAGCATAACTCCACTCGCCTTCTCATGAGCAAATCGACAGTTATTAAAATCTCCCAAGAGAATCCAAGGAGAATTATGAGAAGGCACTAACTGCCTGATATGATCCCAGAGCCGCCCTTTCCAAGGAGCTATTAGAAAAGTAAATTACAGAAAGAAGAAAGGTGGTTGAATTAACAAGGGAGACATACCCTAAGATGATTTGATCCTTGATAAGGATATAAGTGAAATTCAATCTGTTCGAGTTCCATTTAACCCATATGCATCCAGATTTAGATTTTTCCAAAGTTATTGCAATTGTCTTATAGAGCAAAGACTGCATGAGAAATGCTGAAAAAAGGATCATAGAGCAACAACATGAATCCTACTCTCCAGTATACACAACATGCCAAGTTTGAACATTTCAACCAGCTGTTTACAGTAAAGAACCTTATCAATGAGTGGTGCTGGATGTGGAGATGGATTCTTCATTAGGATAATTCAAGTTTTGAATGATTGGTATATTGGCTTCAGCTTCAATTTCTAATGAGGGGTATTCATTGTTACTGGGTAGTGCTGATGTGCCATCATGTATTTGGTTGGTTGGTTGGTTGGGGGGGGGGGGGAGTGAGGTCTCAAAGAACTTTCCCAGAGTTGGAAGGCTGGAAATTACTATCGGAGGCATGCTTAAAATTTGATATCTGTCATGGAGCAAAGTGAGGTGATTTTTTATTAGTAGAAATATGATGGGAAGATGGTCTTCTTGGGGGTTTCATGCTAGAGCACCTACCTCTAACAGAATTAGATGTGTTCCCTTGTTGTTCAGAATTCGTGGAAGGGTTCAAAGGGCAAAGGGAAAAGTAGTGTACCAAAGATTTACAAAACTCAGAGGAGGTGGGGTGCCATTCGTTTTGGACATTTAAACTAAATTCATCACCATCCAATGAAAAAGGAATTTCAGCAGGGTACTTGGCATTACAATCAACTTGAACGCACACTCTAGCGTAGGTTAGGCGGGTTTTTTGTATTGTCAAGGAGTCAACAACAAGGGGAATTCTAACTTTGCTAGCGATTCTGGAAATCCTTTCAAAGTTCTAACATGGAAGGGGTTAAGTCATGGATCTTTATCCATATAGGGACAAAAGAGAAGTTTTCCTTTTAGGTTGAAAATGAGAATGCCATTTTTGTAAACGAAGTGTTTACCAAGAAGAAATCAAACCCTTCTATTCCACTCCATATCATAATCTTTTGAGGAAGAAAAACACAACAAAAAGAAGCCATCACTAAGAGAAAGAAGTTGCAACGAACTTTTAAGTGACCATGTTTTTCAGATGATGCCAAACAAAGCTTCATAAAAAAGTCTCCGGCCCAAAGAGTAACCAACAAGGCACAAGCTCCAATCTTGTGCTCCTTTAGACAATTTCTCCCTAGAGAAAGGAATTACCGCATGCTCATATGGAAAATAGGAAAGAGGGATGTTTTCCGATGCAGACTCGGATGGTGCAAAAATAATGTTCTAGTTACAGTGAGAAGTAGGGCATGCTCCACCTTTCACAGAAGGAAGCGAAGGAAAATCAGAGGGGTAAGAAGCAGGATCCATGAAGAAAAAGAGGGGCCTCCAGCGGATTCGGAGGGAGGCGCGGAGGCGGGAAACAAAACAGGCAAGAGAAGAAACCCTAGTAGAGCTTCTCACTCCCCATCAAAGGTGTTTGCCCAATCAGTGCAAAAGATTTACATGTACACGTTTTGAAGCCCAACAATCGCTACTCCATACCATAGTGGCATATTATTAGGATTGTTTAGTTGCGCCTACATGATTGCCTTCAACAGATCTATTAAATTCTAACATTCCACATGAAAGCTTTTTATATGAACAAGCAATTTGAAGCTAACTTTTATTATTTCTTGAAAGACATTTTAAGCCAATTTAAGACAATTCAAAGGATGTTTAATAATATTTAGAAAAAAAATTATACAAGTATTATCCCTAATTTTCTCATACATATATAAATATAAATATAAGCAAATAAAAATAATAATTATAAATTCTTATATTTGAGCAAGCCATAAAAAAATTCTGAGCAATTAATGAAAATAAGATTATAATTTAATTTTTCTCTTCAAAAGATAAATAATATTTGTACAAATAAAATAATTGTAAGCAATAAACTGTTTTACTAGAAAACTGTTTTAAGAAGCAGTAAAAAAGTCATCCCAAACGAAGCCTAAATCAGCCAAATCATTCAATTTTGTAATACATTAAAAACTAAATTAAAGAGAGTTTCAAAAACTCCTAAAAAATTTTACTACAAATTTATTTTCAGAAATAAAACTCCCATATTTGAAGTAATTTACACCTAAAAATTATCAAACCAAAAGCCCCTCATTGAGAAGCGTGAATGCAATGCAAAAGAGCCGTTTTCTACGTTTATCATAACAGTAGTCCAGTAGCTAAGGAATGAACACCACAACTACGATTCTTCATAATTTTTTTTACCAAAAATCATTTTTGAATGTTTGTGCTTTGCTTTCTTTTTAAGACCCCTATACACCAGCAAAGAATTTCTTTTTTGTTGCTTATTACCGTTAAGAGAACAAACACATTAATTGAATCCTCTGTAGCAGTGGCTAGCAAGCCATGAGCTAGCTATTGGCACATGCAGGAGATTTGCAGATTGGACACCAGTTCTTTTGCTTTAGCCATTGTTGGATGCAGACTACATGGTACCAATGCTCACAAGCTAATGCTCCAATGTCGTCTCCATCTGCACATTCTTCCTGTAAAATCAAACAATACTGAATTAGCGATCGATACATATAGGTCCCGGCTCAACCCACCAGCTGATGGGACAAGAAAATAGTAGTGCTCAGCATGGGCGGATCCACCTTAAGGCCTAATAATTTTTTTTTATTATTTGATTCTTTATGTAATTTGTCTCCCTCCATGTATTTTTTAGTCTTTATTACAAAGGTTTTAAGGCAATTGACCCCCCTAAAAGTTTTAAAATACTATGGTCTTTAGGCAATTGCTCCAACATAATTAAACACATTGTGTAGAGATGTTATTGTTAGAGAACGATGAACCAAATACAAAGAGAAATAGTAAAAAGAATCCAAAAATATTCTTATAATCAAACCATGCCAGGGGGCGCTGCCCCCTTGGACTACTGACATATCTGCGAAGCGTACAACGATGACCAAATAGGAGTTGAGAGGCAGCGCCGTCCCCGGTGCTCAAACAGCCCGTCTAAGCAAGACCAATGGTGAAACTAGGAGATGGTTGGGACGAGCTGCCAACTTAGATTTGTGAAAAATCCTAAGCAATCATATATAATATGAATTTTTAATGCTTAAAATTGCTTGCAATTAAGCAGATTATGGATGCAGCCTGCAGACCACACAGGCTGAGAAATCAATGGTATGTATATTCAGTAGGATCAGTGCAGATGCTGCGAATTCAAAAGTAATATGTACATCAGAGGCTAAGTACCTGGCATATGCTGCACCTGTTACCATCCTCAACACAATCAGCGATCCCAAATGAAGACCGCACCAGCTGAAAATTGCTTCTCTTGAGACAATTTGCAAGTGCTTCATCTGTCAGGCCAGTACTAACTGAGCCAATTTTCTCCACAAGTTCTAGAAGTTCCTGTTCATGGCATTGCTAGTCAAAGACATGACCAATCTAGAATTCCAAGGATTTGAGTTCATTCAAGATGTTGAAGGAAGCAGATCAGCTAAAATAACAATCTTTTAAAACGTTTTATGAATCCTGAACCATTCATAGTTTCATACAATTATAGTGAAGCTGGAAGATTTTTAAATTACCTCATATGACATGTTATCAATGTCCATTCTCATCTCTCTGTGTTGGTCATCGCAGTGTAGTCTTTCCATAGATAAATTCGATTCAGATTCTAACATATGCTGCAAGAAAAATAACAGAGCTAAATATAATATCCAGATGAGCAAAATGGTGATCGCATGGTAGGATAATTAAAATGCCCAATCTGAAACTATGACAGTTTACTTTGACATTAAAATACACCATACCTCTACAAGTCCTTCAGTGTTATTATAACTACGAGCATCGATATTTGCTGAAGGATCACACAAGGTAAGCATGTTTCTTTTTGCTGGCAGCCCTCTTGTGGTCCCTCTTCTAGAATCTTCCAGTGGCTTGACCATCAAGAGATCATTTATCTTTGATCTGTTTGATGTGCTTGAAGCTTTCAGAGTAGTCACGTTTGAGAGTCTACTACTCAGAGGAACTGATAATTTTCTAGTTGATGATGCAGATGTGCTTCTGGTTCTTGAGGCAGAAGATTCTCCTTCAACGTAAATCCTACTTGCCAGAGTACCCCTTCTGCTTTGAACAGGAATGGAGCGAGAACAACCTGATGGAATAACTTCTGAAATTGATGAACAACTATTATTCTTCAAATTTGATTTATTTGCTCCGGTTCCTGAACCTTGAGAACTACTTTCAATAGCTTTCTTGGTATCTCTAGATGCAATCAGGCGCAGTGTAGAAGAAATCGTAGGTGCATAAAAATTCCCACTTCCTGGCCTTTGTTTAATTTGTTTTCTTGTACCTTTGGATAATATAGCACTGGAGCTTTCTGGTACTTCTGTTCTATCTTCTAACAAGTTTTGAAGAGTTTTTGAATTAACATCTTTTAAACAAGATGAAAATTCATTACTTTTAGGAATTCTGGGCGAGGATTGTGCATATGATGTTCCCACCTGTTTGGGAGTGCTTTTTGAAACGTCAGTTTTCATTTTTCCATTGATTTTTTTTTCAATAGTTCTCTTTTGTGGCAATGATTGGTTCACTGGTACAGGCAGAGGATTTTGGTGGTCAATGGAGAGGCCTTTAGCAGAAAATGTGGTTGAAGTCTTGAATTTTCCAATGTTATCAGTCCCGTTTCTCACTGTTGAGCACAGCCCAGAGCTGCATCTTATATGATTAGAGCATCGACTGCTCTCATCCTGCAAGCTTGAAGTTTTTCCATTAAGCCTGGAGCCTATGGTAGAATAACCAATGCCACGAGATGCTTTTCGGTCCATGCATTCAAGTTCACAATTGCAGAAAACACTACAAGATTTTCTATCCAAGTGAGCTTCTTTAGATCTGCAGGGTTAAACGAAATCAGCAAACATTCTTGAAGTTTAAATGTAGTAAAAATTCAAACCAATTATGGTAAAAAATGGCAAGTGTCGATAATTCTAGATTAGATTTACTACCAGTAATTTGAGAATTTTTGGGAACGATTGAGCAAAATATTGAGAAGAAAAACAAACATGACATGTTTGCAAAAGCCTATATGTGAAAGGGTAAAATCTAAAAAAATTGGGGAAGATTATAAGTTCACACCTACTTTGAGGCTCCACAATGTAATGAAAGGACACAAGACTTCATGTGGCTTACGTTAATTTAATTAGATTTCCCCTTATGCTGGATTAGAGTTTATTTAGATTTAAGTTCGAGACTTATTATAAGTGCAAGTCATCATAATTAATTACCCCTCTTGCTCACAAGAGTGCGCTCCAGATTAAGAAGGTTGTTAGGCTTGGACTTAGTATTTAACATTGAATTTAGTTGATGAAGAATAATTGAGAAAATGAAGGTCGATCGAGCTTCCATGATTCTGCCATCCCATATATACTAGTGAATCTTACTTGCCACAATCGGAGAGCTTTGAGCCACAATGTCTTGGGAGCTTAATTAGCAACCATGAGTTTCCTTCTCTTAGGCATCTTGAACAAGTTGGAGCAAACAAATGAGTCAAATATGTGCTTTTGAACTTGCCCAAAATTTTCACATGAAGAGGGCCAGCCATGCCAATTTTCCTGAATAGTTCAAAGGCACACAACATGGTTGCTTGCAATTCAAAGGTACTAGGCATAATTGACAATAGCTTAATACATGGTGTCTCAGCACATTTTCCAATGTGTTAACACAATTATTAATGAGCTAACATATAATTGTGGTTAGCAGGTTGTTTATAGATGTTAAGAAATCCAATGGTGTGTTTTTCCTTAATTACTTTATGACCGCCTTAATACTTTGGCATGTCTTTTGGAGTGAATATATATATATATATATATATCATGTTTATATACTATCATGGCAACATAGTTGAATCATCTTAAAGTTGACCAAGGCTCTACATTAGAATCCTTGAATTCAAATGTCTTAAATATGATGATAAAAAATTTATGTGTGTGTGTAAAATAATTTAAATGTCTTTTTTTTTAATGTTTTTTGTTTAGACTTCAAATATGAGTCATGGGTAGAATTCGCCTATTGACATGCTTTCTTTCTTACCAATGATTTCAATCATGATTACAATGCCACGTCAATCTCCGGCTAAAGGTCGAGTGGATATGAACAACATTAGAATTGTGCAATGGCCATACCTATTACATAACCACAACAATATTTACATTAAATTATGGCTAAACAAGGTAGCCATCAGTGAGGATTCATCTCCCTAAGTCCACATTGTAGATTAATGGAGGAGGCAACACTTTGGCTAGATTGAAGATAAATGGTGAAAGGGTCTTCAAGCTTCTCAAAAATAGAAGATCAAAGATCAACGAAACTGAGGTTTCCATATCAATTGGATCACAGATCAATGAATATCTAGTGATTTTCTAGCATTTTTATACGATGGGATTACTTAGCATGAAATAGTGTGAAAAGCCAAACAACATGAGCTTCCTAAGCTAATGTATTCAAGCATCAAACAAAAGGAATCACTAAGTGTGAAGAAGCTTGTTGGATCAAGGTGGACAAGTGTATAGGTGAGCGACAAACAATTTAAGAGTCCAGCAAAGAAAAATGCAGAAGAGAGGAGCATGCAGAAAAGTGACAGTCGCAACAAGCCAAAGAAAGAGGAGAGGTTTATCATCTAGGATCATGGTCAACAACGTGATATCATGTGCTGTGAATCTCTCATGACTTAGAGAAGTGCAAGAGGTTCATGAGCTCGCTATGTCATCCGGAAAGTTGATGCATCCAAGGATGGAAAGGAATTGAGTCACTAATTTCTCAAAGTTCATTTGGATTGCAAGATTTCAAGGGAATGAGAAGGTAGTTAAGATCACATAGGCTCTATGGGTATCAAAACTTTAGGAGAAAGAATTGTAGTAATTAAGAAAATAAAAAAATCATCCATAATACCCAATTAATTATATAATATATTTATACTCAATTTGTGTTTAATAGGAGGGATTCATCGGGTTAATTAAAGTCAATCTTAATTTAATAAGGTTCTTAACCTAATTGGATGAAATTGAGCCTAATGTTAGAATTTATATAACCTAATTGGTGCCTCAACTATTTCATAAACTTGGCTCAAATTTTGTGGTAAATAGTAGGGTTAACAATACTAATTGAATCGATAAATAGTAGCGTACTAAGATGCACCGATACTTTGTAGTAATAAAGTGTGTCATGTCAGACACAAACATGACACATTCACTTGCTCAACAGAAGCTTGACATTTGTCGGACATGCTATCAACATGTCAAATTAAAAAAAAAAAAAACAACAAATTAGGTATTTGTTATAAATAATAAATTTTAACTTTAAAAATATATTACATAAATAATATAATTTATGATGTTTAATGACTAAAGAATATTAAAAAAATAATTTAATTTAAAGTTATTATCATGTGAATATTTCTTTTTTATTTGAGTTTAATGTATTTGATAAATTTAAATATACTTCTTATTTTAAGAGCAATTAGAAAAAAAGTTATTATTATATGAATTCATCTCAAATTAATTAAATCTGTGTAATTAATATATAATTTTTAAAAAATTTAAGATATAATATTATAGTGTCGTGTCCAATGCATATTGGTGCCATATATTAATAATAGGCATGTCATCTAACTATGTTGTATCGTGCATCTCCATGTCTATATTAGTTTATCATAGATAGTGCATAGAAAGTTTGAAAATAAAATTATTAAGGTGAAAATAGTTAATAGTAGAATTTATTCTATTAAATTTACTATTTATAAGAATATCATAAATCTGATTAATGCTTTGCCACTCAAGTTAGTTTACAAGAAAATTTGTAATTTCAATTTTGGGAAGAAATAGATGAACTAAAATGTAATCATGATTAAAGGGGATTACTTTTGATATTGACTTAAATTGGCTTGTAACTTCACATAGAATGGCTCATGAGAGGAATCATGGCGACAATTTAATAATAGATAAGAATGTGATGGAAGATGCTACATTTTATTTCATAGCAATATATGATTTTTTTTTTTCAAGTACTTCAAAAAAAGAGAACAGCATTTGGCTAAATTAAGAAGTACAGCTACTAAATAAAAAATAGCTTATTAATTTCTATGAGATAGAACTTTCTTCCCTTTTTTTCATAAATAGCTTTAAAGTAAATTCAGGAAATGATACACAACATAAAATGGTAGTCATGGTTCATCGCAACAAAAAAGAAGAGAACGAGTTAGTCAATGATGCCCAACATAATCATAGAAGTATTAGAAAGACATTTTAAAAAGTTGCCGAAAGTAAGGACAGAAGAATTTAAAATGTGAGGAGCTATTGATCTTCCCAGTTAGATTGTTAGGAAAATTGTAACTTTAATATCGAACAAAACTTGTTGTGGGACAAACTAGTTTAGTTATGTTAAGAAGTCTAACAAGAAAATTCAAGGAGAGACTACAAATGAATTGTACAAAAGGAGATTTGTGGTGGAGTAAAGAAGTTAAAATATGATATTTAGGGGAAGGAAGTGTTCTAAAACAAAAGGGAAACCCACAAATTATTATGATATGGAACTATAAAGAAGACACTTGTTTTCCAAAGAATGTGTTTGGAAAACTTAAGCTATAATACTTAATTATTTGTATGCTAGAATGAGTAACAAGGAAGGAGATCTGTATATAATGATGAAGGAAAGATAAAAAAGATCTGAACACTTTAATCAAGTTAGATGGATTAAAAATGAAGATAAAAAGATCTTAGTAAGACAGAAGTTAACATTGAAGAAGATACTTAATTGTAAAGCTTTAAATTCAGATAAGAAACCTATTAAGCTTTGAAGAGTTATGGAAATAGTTTAGATAAGACATTCTTCTAGTGAAATCTTAAAGACCAAGAGGAAGCTCTGGTACTAGTATTAAATGCAACAAAGTTGTTCATGATTAATACAATCTGAAGGAAACCAAACATAGCATTCATACAATTAAGTTATGTGAGATGATGATTAAATAGAGATTAATAAAAAATACATTGTCATCGCGTAATAACGTTGGTTTAATAATATAACTATCTATCATGAAAGCATAATTGTTTTTAGTTGTTGGAAAGATATAGAGAGCTATAAAATTTTAATATTGTTTTCTTGCTGAAAATTTATATGACTAAGTACCATGATAATTGATTTAGTTCTTGAACATTAGTTGGGAAAGTGTGCAAAATATACGTTGAAGTTATTAAAATATTTATAATGGAGCAGAAATAGCATTAGTAGTTAGTAGGGACAAAAGGGCTTTCAATTTGAATTTGAAGTGAACAATCAAATTATCAATCAAAACAATACCCAACAAATGAAAGAATCAATCAAAACAAGATCAAATTTAACTATTATTTTCTATCACTCATGCTTCAATAACAAACTAACAGTTCTATGTTGTATAGAATAATTTTTTCTTCATTTATCAAAGAGAACTGCATCTCAAGATCCTATAACTGCATCGAAGCAACTCATGCTCTTAGTTCCGAAATTTAAACATTATATAAATTCTAAACACAACAAAGAGCTATTCATGCAACATAGCTCTCATAAATCTACACTCTTCCTTCAATTAAAGTACCAAGATTGATTCCCCATCAAAAAATAAAAGCATCGAAAGTTTGGAAACTAACCCTGATTGATTATGAAAAATATTTTGAACATTTATTATGCTTCAAACTTAAAAAAAATAAAAAAAATAAAAAAAAATAAAAAAAAAAATAAAAAAAAATCTAGAACCTGAAAGCACAGTAGATAATTCCCTGCTAAAAGGGAAAGACATGTAGCCATGCATACTGGAGGTCAAAAACCACCAGAAACACTTGAAGGAAACATAAGCTAAAGTATATATGGAAAGATGAAGACTCAATCAAATATGTATCTAATGGAACAAACAAACTACTACTGTAACTAACATAATATAATCTTTTCATGAATAACCAACCACACCAATCTATTTTACAATTCATAGCAATCTAGCACTAGAATTCCCTATATAAATGATAGAGCTCTAATGGGAATTATACGAAGGACTAGCAGCCGGATTCATTAACATAAAAAAAGTATTGAAGCTATGACAATTACAGAGCAGAAACGCAACTGAAAAAGGCTAAAAAGAAACACTATAGTTGAGGGGAGTAAAGGGATGACGAGGGCGAGAAAGAAACAGAAAAAGACAAACTTTCACGACTAAGGGGCTCGAGCTATTTCTACCTACTACCGAAAGCATCAACGCACGTCATGCAGAAAAAAAAATAGATTAACGGGAAAACAAAAAAACATAACAAAGAGACCATTTGAGCAATTTTTCACAGATTAGTTTTTGGAACGGAAACGTCGCCCACCAATCGCGGAGCCAACATAAACTCTGCTCCACGTATTGACGGCCCAGAAAGGAAAGGAGGAGAAGATAAAGAACGAAAAAAAAAAAAATCTTTTTTTTTTTTTTTTGGGTTCATCGAGAGGCCAAAGATGGCTGAATTTCCGAGGTATGCATGAAGGCAGAATCAGGGATTACTTTCTTCTTCTCGCACATAAAGAACAGTATAAAATTCCGTGAAATAAGAAAGGAAGAGATAGAAGGAAGACCTTTTATTGTTCATCGTCTAATTTTTTCAGTCGCTTTCGTTAACCCTGACGAGAACTGGTTGCAGAGAGAAGCCCAGGGCGAGAACTTAGCTCTCTTATAGTCGCGCCGCCTAAAGGAATCGGATGGAGGAGCCCACGACAACCGCCCCGAATACGATCGCTTCCTGATTTTCCTTGGAAACTCGGGCGGGCTTAGATTTTGGTAGCTCGACGATGGCCAATGCGTGCGGATTTAGTTAGTTAAATTTGACCGTATAGGCTGGAGAAATTATCAATTGCGGAATCGGATATATTTAGCAAATATTACATAAATATTTAGTAAAAAATTTATTATTTATTTGTGAAATATTTATTCAGTATATTAAATAAATTGGTCGACTCCGCACTTAATAATTTCTTCTAATAATATACAAACAATTATTAGGTCCGGTGACCGGACGTAGCTCTACGTGCGGTCACCACTGAGATCGCGCCACGTGCTCTTACTCTTTATCGTGCGCCCGACAACTTGAACCAGAACCCGGGAATGCTATTTTCGCGTATTGCTAGGTATTACTCGGTATTTGCTCGGTATTGCTCGGTATTGCTAGGTATTGCTTAGCAATAACGAGAAATACCGCTATGTGAAGGCCAATACCGAGTTTTTTTTAGAAAAACTCTGTATTACTCGGTATTGCTCGGTATTACTTGGTATTGCTCGGTATTTGTCTTCACATAATGGTATTTCTCGTTATTCCCGAGCAAAATCGACAAATGCCTAGCAATATCGAGCAATACCTAGCAATACCGGGTTGTCATGAATTTAAAAAACGCACGTGCAACATACCCACTATTCGCCGGGTCGGGTCCGCGGTTTTGTGCCTGCTACGTGGCGCGATCTCAGTGCCGGCCGAACGTAGCTCTACGCCCGTTCACCGGACCAAATAAAAGTTAAATAATATAATTCAACAAATATCTATGTCATATGTTTGTTAATATAAATATATCCAAAATTTTATTTGGGCAAAATTATATTTACAATAGTAATATCTCTCTATCAACCGCTATTGTTGTCTTCCAAACAATATCCCCTTCAATTTTGAGTGATACATTGTTATAAATTGAAACAAACTCCTTCAAATGAAGAGGGTTAGGGTTCTTACTTTTTTTTACTAAGTAAATTTAAATACAACATTCTCCCTTTTCAACGCACATTTAGTCTTAGGTTATAATAGGAATGAGATAAAATGATCAAACAAAGTACGAAGTTATAATAAGAATTACAAATATTGTTTGAATCTTATACAAATAAGATTTGAATTTTGTTGGAACCTGCATTTTGCTATTTCAAAATTATGCGTGCATAAATATGATCATATAGGATAAGTTACAAACGACTGATATGAAGACAATAATAGAGATACTTGAGGAGAGAAGATACTTGATATGAAAGTGACATAAATATACTTGATCTAATTTATTAACGGAGGCATATTCTTTATTAATTTTCTTCCTTTTTCAAGTATATATATTTTTACTTTATATTAATTTTCTACAACTTTAGCAAATCTATGTTATTATAATTATGAATAGAGGAGTTTAATAGAGTTGGGAGGCAAGTTTGAATAGGAATTTAATTTGATTAGCTTATTCAAACATTGAATATGAGGCTAGTATCTTATTCATGTTTGAACATAGGGTTCTCCTTTTGGTCCTTTCTTATTATAACTTAAGGTTTGAATGTTAAAAGGGGTAATGACTGCATTCATACTTATATATGAGAAAATTTGAATACTAATAAACACAAAAAACTCCTGAATTATAATGATAGGATCATGGATTACCTTTTTCTTTTTGTAAAAAAAAAAAACTTTATAAATTCTGTAAAATAGAAAAGAGAAATATAAGAAATGTCTTTTATTGTTCCTCATCTACTTTTTTAAGGGATAAATCGAAGAAAGATTGTTTATTGTTCCTCATCTATATGTTGACATTGAAAATATCAACATCTCCATTTAGGATGAGTTTAAGATTACCATCCCTAAATGTCATTGGTGGAAACTTGAACAACTCAACCCCTTATTTGGATATCTAGGTTATCTCTAGAAACCTTCAAACATTCCTCCTCAACTTTAATCTTCACTTCAATCATTTTAGAATATTTTATAGTTAGAATATTTTATAGATTCTATCCTAGCTTAACATAGTTAGAAATTTTACTTTAGGTTTTAGCGTAGGTTAAATAAGACTTGAACTTAGAATGACCACATGATTCTTTTGAAATTAGAAATGACTATAGAAGGAACGAATTAATCATTCAACTTTAATCAATTCTATTAAAAAATAGGCATTTTCTCAAACTTGAACCTAATTGGTTTAAATGAACTTAATTGGTGGTTTAAGTATTCCAACTAAATCTCATTAGTTCAATCCCTAGCTGGTGCATTGTAATTACTGATGAGGTTCTTTGAGTGTAGTCGGTTGGCTATGGTCAAAACAACCCTAATTCCCCCTTGAACTCTGAGTTCAATTGGCTATTTCCAACCAAATGATCTAATCATATGAACAAAAGTCTCCCATAAAGTTTAGTTTATCAAACCATAGATAATTTGTCCATAGTTGACCATTGGAGTATGTTAGACCCTTTTGAATCTAAGTTTAACCCAATAGGAGCCAATTAGGTAAATGTAAACCTAAGCCCTATAAGCTCCCAAAGAAAAAAATATTCAAATTTCAGATCACACACACACACACAAACCCTTGGGATGCTCAACATTCACACATATACACAATATTCACAAACATGTGTAGAATGATTGTGTTGAAATTTCAAACACACAAGAATTACTGGATTGTTTTTCGACTAGTTCAGAGCACTGTAACATCAGGTATTACAAGTTCTCCACCTCAAAAAAATTTCATCCTCGACATCTCAATATATAGACCAATCAAACAAATCAGGATATAATCTCCTCATCTCAAATTTTTTATCCAATGTAGCTTCTCTACTGGATTGGTGCTTCCACTACACTTTAACCATCATAATCTATTTACTCCTTATTTCTAAAATAGTATGCCAATATCTTTCAAGGTCTTCTTTATATCAAAGATCTAGTTATCCTTCAACTTTCCCTTTAGAGATTATACTTTTTTACATCAGATACCCACTTCTTCAAAAAGTATTTAGGAAAAATGAACTTTAGACATATGTTCAAAAAGCAATGGATAAGAAGTAGATTTTTCAATACTATCAATAATCTCAAATAGTCAAATGCACTTGGACTCAATTTTCCTTTCTTACCAACTATGTTTACTCATTTCATAAAACTCAGTTTCAAATATCCAAAATCTCAAACATTAAACTCTACAAAACAATGCTTCAAATCATAGTATTATTTCTATGTATCTTATATAGATTTTAACATATCTCAGATCAGATGGATCATTGTCATAACATCATCGACCAGAGCTGATCCTAATATATTTCTTTTTGCCACCTCTATCCAAAATAAATGTGTCATGCATCTCCTATCATGCAAAACTTCTTAAGGGGCCATACCAATACTGTTCTAAAAGCTACTATTATACACAAACTAGATCAAACCCACCTAACACAATAATCTAAAACATATAGTTTCATAAGATTTTTCAATACTTAAATAATCCTCTCATATTAATCATATGTTTGTGGATAAAAAGCCATATTGAAGTGTAATTTTGTCCATAGATTTTTCTTAATATTTTCCACATAGTTCAGAAGTGAATATATTGTCCCAATAATAAGAGTAATGACAATTCTTTATCCCACTATGTGGGGTCAGCTACATGAATCCTTTTTCTTCATTATGTCCTATTAAGTGTTAAATTCTCATTTAAATTTAATAAACAAAGATCATTTCTAATACTTCATAATCATGTTTTTTTATGTATACCTCTATCTTTCTTAACATAAGCTAGATCTAATACATTTACTATCCTAACCTGTTCATCGAAAGGCTGACTCTTTTGTGACCAAATATTCTAAGGCAATTCTCTCTAATCTCATTTGCCACAGAAGCAACTCCAACATTTTCAGGTATATACTCATTTTGCATTCTATCTTTAAGTGGAAAGCCACTCATCCACCTCAACATCCTCATCTCAATAACATTTAACTTAATTTTATGTTTCTTTTTTAATGTCCAACATTCCATGCCATAAAGCATTGCATGTGTCACCACCATCTTATACAACTTTCCCTTAAGTTTGTGGGGTACTTTTCTATATATTACACAATATGCCTGATGCATTCCTCCACTTTAACCATCCAACTTGAATTATACTAATAATATCCCTATCTATTTCACCATTTCTTTGAAAAATAGACCCGAGATATCTAAAATGAGTACTCTTTTTAATGACTTGATAACTCAAAGTCATAATACCACCACTAGATCTATTACTACATGTATTCAATTTTATATCTATTCAAATAAAAATGTTTAGATTCTAAGGTTGATCTCCATAATTTATATTTTCCCTTTGATCCCTCTCTAGTCTATCAATAAGAAGAATTTCATCAACAAAAAGTATACACCATATTTTTGAACATCCATAACTAAAGAAATAAGATATAGGCTTAAAGCGGATCCTTGATATAATCCAATTGAAACAAGAAAACATTTGGTCAATCCACCATGATTTTGAACACAAGCAACAATTCCAGCATACATATCCTTGATGACTAAAATATAAGCATTATTAGCTCCTTTCTTTTCTAGAACTCTCCAGAGCACTTCTCTTGAAACTTTATCATAAGATTTCTCTAAATAAACAATTATCATATGTAGATCCTCCTTACTCTCTTTATATTTCTCCATCAAATCTTTCAACAAATATATAGCTTTGATAGTAGACATACCCGACATGAATTTAAACTAATTTTGAGAAGTATTAGTATCATGTCGTAACTTTTGCTCAATTACTCTATCCAAAGATTTTAATGTATAACAAATTAACTATACCTCTATAATTCACACACTTTGTGCATCAGCTTCTATCTCAATCAAAAATACTTTGGGTATCTCATATAGTTTGAAAATCTCATGCATATATATCTAGCTATGCCAACTTATCTACAGAGTTTGTTTCCAAATGAAAGAAAATGAGCAAATTTTTTTAGGAAATATTTCATAACCCAAATAGCATCATGATCTTGCCTTGACCAATAAAAACCCATTG